TAATCTTTTAATCAGTTTAATTGAGGTTTGGAGCTGGTATGTCAGTAACTGCTAGTAGTCCTTTGTTCATTTATGTATCATTGTCATTTTGCTTAGTTTTTTTTTGTTACCTATTCTGACATCGGACTCGGACTTCTTTTAAACTGAGTTTTACTGTGCGTATTGCTATGTGTTTTTTTTTTCTACATTGCCTAGAGGTATAGGGGGAGGGTTGAGATCTCAAAAAACATGTTTAACCCCGCCGCATTTTTGCGCCTGTCCCAAGTCAGGAGCCTCTGGCCTTTGTTAGTATTGTATGTTTTTTTGATTTTAGTTCATTTATATGTTTTGGAGTTTAGTGTGACGTCCATTTTCACTGAACTAGCACACAATTTTATTTAGGGGCCAGCTGAGAACCACCTCCGGATGCAGGATTTTCTCGCTGCATTGAAGACCCATTGGTGGCCTTCGGCTGTTGTCTGCTCTTTGGTCGGGTTGTTGTAACTTTGACACATTCCCCATTTCCATTCTCAATTTTATTGTTCTGGCTTGCTCACTCATAAAATTTGAAATGACAGTAAAATAGACATCTCTTTTTCCTTCTAAATGTCATGTTTCTTTGGCAGTAATATGACCAATTACTCCAAGAAAAACATCCATTTCAATAATAATAAGACTAATTAAAATGATTAATTCCTTTACTCACGGTCGCGAAACACGTGACTTCGTCGTGATCAGTTTCACGGAAAATGGCGCCCGTCAAATTATTATAGTTCGCCTGGATGTAAACTTCAAACGTAAGTATTTACATATCATCGTGTTCACACAGAGGACCCCCCCCCCCCCCCTCATCATATGCGTATTTTTCGTGCGAATATTTTGATGCATATAAAGTTATATTTCACTGTTGGTTTCATAGAGAACATTCACAAACTATTTCAGACCTGCTGAAGATTGTTTGGGATTGTGTACACGAAATGACCGTAAAATCACTGTAAATCCATTTGTGTGTCTTATTTTCACCAATCGTGTACAGAAACTTACCCAAATTTACTAATTCATTCATATAAACTAGCATCGATGTATATTTTTGACATTATTGCGAACTGAACGCAATAATATTTTTTTTGTCAATAAATGATCAGTGTACACGGTAAGAGTTTAAGTGATCAGTTCCACGGTCTAATTCTGAATCAGTATGACAAGATCACATTAAGGTTCATCTGGGAAAGTGGCGGAAATCCAGTTGAAATTAAACAAGAAATTAAACTCTTTGCCAGAGCAGAAAAGGTAAAAAAGCAAAATTGGTATATTTAAATTGTTTACATCTGTTTCTATAGGCTTTAAAAGTTTAATAAAGGAACATTTAACTTTTACTTTATGGAGCTTCGAGATATGTGGAAACTTTTAAATTATAGGCAAATTTTCATTAAACAATCTAGTGTAGCCGGTTCAATTCAAAGTCGATCTTTTTCGTGCATAAGTATAAATTCCGCCGAAAAAAATCCAAAGAAAGATATAATAGATTTATCTTTCTAAAACATTAATTTGCATCTCTGCTCCCAAAGATATTTTTTTTTTTTGGGGGGGGGGGGGGATCCTAAAAATGGGCAATTATTGCATCAAAAAGAAAAAGTCAAGTGCACCTTTTAATGTTCGGGCGTGTTTGAGTTGAGAATTCTGTCTTGAAACGTATAAAACAAAAATATTTGCTACATCATCTCGCTTCAGATTCTATTATTTTTATATGATTACGCTGCAGGTTGATTTAATAACATTAAAACTTCAAAGTACTTAAAAAAGAAATATTCTGGTCAATTACCGTACTGATGAGTCATAACAGCAGAGTATGTGTGTTCGAATAACAATTTTTTACTTAAAGTACTTGACGACAGACTTTACAACTGGATCTTTAAAATGCATAACTTCAAAAGAACTTCATTTGTTGTGTGTGTCTTCTAGGATTATTGTCTGTCCGTCTGTCCGGATTAGGATACATTGTTTGTCTAACTATCTTCTCCTTCGGTTTTGAAGATACAGTCAGCTTTAATATTTTGTAAGATGTTCAAACACAGAAAGGAGGTGTGCATAGCCACAGGATTTTATTTTTTTTACAAATTTTCTGGAAAAGACAGGCAGTTGGACTATTGATTATTTGCTGTAGTACATGTAGCTGCATAAACAAATAATAGTTTGTCCTCCTTCAGTTACATCATCATACAAAGTATTAAATTTATAATTTCTTATGGTCATTTGTGTCTTACAGACAGCGTAACAATTTGAAATTGTATGCCAACATCACTGTCTGTCTAATCTAAAATATGTGGAACTATACTCGTGCATATGGCAGAGCAGAAAATGGGATGGGGGTATTGCCAATATCTAGTTTTCTCTGATTATAGGTCCCATTATGCGGAAAAAACAAAGCTTTCACAGCAACTCCAAAAGCATCGAGAAAAAACTGTCAGACAGCCAAAGAGTTAACCAAATAGACAATCTCAATGTTGCAACATTACAGACAGGAATTTAATGAGGATATTATCAAAATCGCCATACACTGTCAAAATACGAGAGAGGGGCGAAAGATACCAGAGGGACATTATCCTTCTCCAAAACGTGAGAAAGTACAAGGGCACACAAAGCGCTCACTATTCATTTCAACCAAACAGTAATATATTCTCCTTCGCCTTAAAAGGGAATACAAAACAAAAGCCAAAACGTGCACTCTGCATTCCATCAATATTACAACCACAGACATTAAATGTGATCTTGTCATACTGATTCAGAATTAAACCGTGGAACTGATCACTTAAACTCTTACCGTGTACACTGATCATTTATTGACAAAAAAAATATTATTGCGTTCAGTTCGCAATAATGTCAAAAATATACATCGATGCTAGTTTATATGAATGAATTAGTAAATTTGGGTAAGTTTCTGTACATGATTGGTGAAAATAAAACACACAAATGGATTTACAGTGATTTTACGGTCATATCGTGTACACAATCCCAAACAATCTTCAGCAGGTCTGAAATAGTTTGTGAATGTTCTCTATGAAACCAACAGTGAAATATAACTTTATATGCATCAAAATATTCGCACGAAAAATACGCATATGATGAGGGGGGGGGGGGGGGTCCTATGTGTGAACACGATGATATGTAAATACTTACGTTTAAAGTTTACATCCAGGCGAACTATAATAATTTGACGGGCGCCATTTTTCCGTGAAACTGATCACGACGTAGTCACGTGTTTTGCGACCGTGTTACTTGTTTTGAGATTCTCTAATGAAAAATATCAGAAAATGATTTTTTTTATTAAATCAGCAGTCTTTCGCAAATATTAGAACTTGAAATAAGTTTGCTTCTAGTGTTCATATTCTAGCTTTATTTATACCATATAAACTATTTTAGACTGAATGCATATTATGTTATTTAACAAAAATAAAAATTGAAGCCACATTTATAATTCATTTATTGTATTCTTTGTTTTGCATTTTTTAATAATATATTTTCCTGTTTCCTAATATTCTTCTTTTAATCTACTTAGTTATGTTTTTCACTAAAATGTACCACTGTTTATTTTCCGGAATTTGCAGAATGACGTCGAAATGCTTTCAAAACGTTAAAGAAAGGCATGCGATAATAACCGGGAGCAGTTGATATAAACCGGAAGCAGTTGATATATACCGGAAGCAGTTGATAACGAAAGTCCTATCACACGCCTAAGACAATTCTTCTAATTTAATGAATAAATTAATATATGTACAAATTAGTTTTATCAAGGGGTACAATTATATCATTATTTTCTACAAGTATATGATAAATTGTTTTATTATTTTTTTGTGATACTCTTGCACTGGCAGAAAAATATCCTTTTGAGAAGGTTCATTCTTAATTTGGAAAGCAGTATTAGGATTGAAAAAGACAGCCACTAACATAGGTGCTAGATCAGAATAAGGTAGATTTTACTTTGGACTCTTACATAAAAACTCAAACACTCACGCATGTTTATAGATTAAACTCTAATGATATTAATCCTCTGGTTAAAGAATCACTACAAACTAATATGAATTGAAATTCCACAGGAATTTATTCTTGGTACCCATTTGCAGATAAAAATTTTAAAGATATGAAAATAAACCCAGAAAATCATTCTAATATTAATGTACCTTTTAAACAATAAAAAAAGTGTTAAAATGTAATACTAAAAAGTGTGTTTCAGAAGAATATGAAAAACACTATTTCAAATAAACTTTCAAAATTGGATTCCTCTTTCAAACTTTGTCTTTATGGGAAATTCAAAACTAATTGTCAGTCTGAGGAATATTTAAATTGCAATAAGTTTATACATAGGCAGTTACTGTCCAAATTTAGACTTAAGGATCATTCCCTAGGCATTGAATTGGGTAGATATAGAAACGTTCTTAGAGCACAACGATTATGTAAAAAATGTGGAGTCCTAGATTACGAATTTCATTTCTTTTTGTATTGTGACATTAACGTAGTATTGCGTTCAAATTTTTTGCTTATCTTAAAGACTATGTATCATTATTTCAACATCTTGATGCATTTAATAAGCTAAAACACATTCTAAACACCACTCCTGAACTTGTTTGTCATATTGGAGTCTTCATTAAGCAGTCCTTAGAACTGAGGGGGTCAGCCCTATGTCAGACAAAATTATAATTGTGTTTTTTACATAAATTTGTTAGTTGAATTCTTTCTTAAAATATGTTCTATTGTATTCTATTGTATTGTATTTAATTGTATTGTTTGTTTGTATTGCTTTGACCCTTATGGGTATAATTTTGCAATAAAGATTATTTTAATTACAGGGAAGTCACTTTTATATTACAATGCCAATGCTAGAGAGACCAGAAATTACAAAGAATTAGTATACAAACTAACACTGAAATAAAAGAAAAAGAATTTGATCTTCAATATTGAGGTGTTTAATTTTCAAATCATACAGTAGGTATTTATTCGTTACAGTTGTATATCTATCAATTTACCTGTGGTAGTTTCTTCATAAGGGTTGACTGTACTTGCACCTATAAATATACAAAAGTGTAAGAGGTCGTCGTTTATAAAACACTGATAATACACCACCCTAGAATTAGCATACGCTATTTTGCCTATCTAATAAATAAAAGTATACTGAATTCAAGTAAAAGAAATAACTAGCATACCTGTCTTTATTTTTAGGAACGTAAGTGTCTAAAGTCTCGGACTAAACAACTGGAATTATTACTATGTTGACATATTGTCACATGTGAAGCAGGGTCTGTTTACCCTTTTTTAGCACCTAAAATCACCCCCAGTTCGGGTTACTCAGTCTTTAGTTTTCTATGTTGTATTTTGTGAACTGTTGTTTTCTTTTTTAACCATGGCGTTGGCAGTTTATTTTCGACTTATGAGTTTGAATGTCCTTTGGTATGTTTGGTATTCCGCTTCTCTTTTTGAATATTGATATGACAACATAATAGCCTATGTTCAGTTTATATTTATTCTTATTTGTCCTCTCGTGTTTCTGTTAGTAAGCTATACTTGTAAGGTTCAATACTTTTTTATGTTTGCTAAGATGTCTTACAATATTTTATAGTATCAATATTTCAAGTCATTTTTGAAACGCTCTTAACAAAAGACGAATCAACCAGCTCAGATGACATGAACGCAAGAGAAAAAAAGTCGCATTATAAACAAACAATACAAGACAACACTCGTCAGGTTAATACCTTTTTCTTTGTATTTGTAATATTTTGATAATTTTGTGTTACAATGGCAATCTGTTTCATGATGATAATTTCAGCTATATGAATTTTAATTGATTCCACGTAGAATGATGCTTTTTGGTGTCAATACAGACAACTTCTGCTGAAGCTTTGTGTTTAAAATATTCCTGTCAGATTCAAAATGTTAGTAACATATATATTCTTTATTCGGAGATCTGTCAATATAAGAATTGAATGCTCTGGGTTTTTATTAGATTTATACGTGGTGAAAACAACCAACGATCACCTTTTTTCAGCAAAAAGCTCTTTGTGCAAAATATAAAGGTCATTTGCTTTCATTACCGTAACGTATAAATTTTTCAAAAAACAGCACCAATTCTATATCAAATGCTAAGTGTATATCAGGAAAAAATAAATTAACGGGTTTATGACTAACAAGGAAATATAATCGTGTTGATTATCAATATCCTGTGAAGGCAACACTTGCATTTTCATGTATTAAAAATCTACCATATTTCCCTAAAACCAATTTTTATTTTGAAGTAGGACTTGACCTACTTTTATGTCATTTTCAGTTGTGATAGTTTAATGTATGCAAAACAGGTGTGGACGTTCTGAACAGTTTGGACGCCTCTCGAAAGATACATTATTTATCAAAATGCTGATCTATTAGTTCAAAATTTGTTTTGATAGTGATATCAAACACTTTCTGCCAACTTATAGTACATGCTAATTCTGAAATTATTTAACACACTCATTAACTTTAAGTTTCAAACTTGTTCTCGGAAGTCTATTTTCTGTTGTCTAATAAACAGATACGTTATATATAATATCTTGAGACGTTGGCATACGGTCTATTTCGGTTAAGTTGGGGGATAAATTTTACTTTACTTTAGTCCGTCGCCGCAACATTGCATGCAGTTTTAACTTTTGGAGACATTTGTATCTAATTATTCATTTTTCATCCTAATTGTGGTAGAAGAAAGTAAAATAACAAAAACACCAAAATCTGAGGAAAATTCAAAACGGAAATTTTGTAATCAAATGGCAAAATCAAAGCCTAAAACACATCAAACGAATGGAAAACAACTGTCATATTCCTGAATTGGTACAGGCATTTTCTTATGTAGAAAATGGTGATTAAACCTGGTTTTATAGCTAGCTAAACCTTTCACCTGTATGACAGTCGCATAAAATATATTCCATAATATTGACAACGATGTGTGAACAAAACAAAAAGACATACTAGGTAAAAATGTCAAAAAGTGGGGTACAGAGAACGGCTTTTAAACACCTACACCGATCAATCCTTAGCGTGGATGTTTGGCTTTTACACTTGTATCACTACACAGTTAAATCATATTAAGTGTATGTACTTCTTCCTCATTGCAAATTTATAAGTGATTCAATGGTTTTCTGATTTATCTTATTATTTTTCTTCTTTGTGCACATTAGGTTTTTCGACTCAACCATACTGCATATGTCTTTTAAGTACACTTCAATTAGTTCTTGCATCGAAATTTATCAGAACGCATGACTTTCAATCTGTAAAAGCAGCCGCAGCTAAATCCATGGTAAGACATACTGTGGATGCATGCACAGTGTGGGATCAAACAAATCAAAATCCGAGTAAGATAATAGAGCAAGTACAGAAAAACAGTAAGATTTATACACAACAACTTTGAAGACCGAACACCTAACTATGTCACAAATATGGTAAAATCATTAAAATTGGAAATCCTCGAACCATGCTATTCAAGATCAAGTTTGACCTAATAATATTACACATAGCTCGTCAATATCGTACCCCATTCAATATCAAGATAAGAGTAAAAGGCATGCTCTGTAAAAAACTAGACAGCACCATCATTAACATAACTTTGATTGTATATTAAGAACGCTTTAAATGTAAATTGCCTAAGAGAAAACTGTCCATGCTGTCTGATACAGCACAGTTTTTGCGCAAAACCAGTGAAAAAAGTCCTTTACCTTTAGTGAAAAAAAAGATGACCCTGGTTCTTATTTCATTTAGAATTAGAGATACATATATAATGCTATTCCTATCATTAGGTCGATGCCTCTGCTGGTGGACTGATAGTCCCCGAGGGTATAACAAGCCCAGTAGCCAGTACTTCGGAAATGGCATGAAAATACGGATTTTGTGTTATTAAAATTTGCTGTTACAAAATTTTGGAAATTATTTAAAATTAAGGAATGTATCTCCTTCATTCAAAGCTCCGATTCCTTGCCCGGCTTTGGCTATACTTTGTTGTTCTTTTTGGTTTATAGCTCTTCATCTTTTAGATAAGCTTTTGATTTTCAAATATTTTGGCCTCGAGCATCACTGAAGAGACATTAATTGTCGAAATGCGCATCTGGTGCAGAAAAAATTGGTACCGTTTATGTTATCATTAAATGGGAGGTTAACATGGTCCAACAATACATGTTTTTAATTTTTTATTACTGTGGCTTGACTATAGGTGTTGCTGTTTACCTTTACCTATTGTTCAACCAGAATTTAAAATTGACAATACAATAGGGACATTTAAATTGACCAGTTGGTATTGTTAGAGTTAAGTCTACCATGATGCTACCTGTAAAGTTTTTTGTTCACCTAACCCAACTTTTTAAATCCCCGGTATTGATAATATTTCTAAATTTTGCCAAAAAATGTAAATCAGTAAAAGATTTTATTAATTGCATGATAATATAATATGTATGAAAATTAAAATTGTTTTTACATAATAACTGATTTTTAAAATTTTTAACCCTTATACATAATAATGTCCAGTTATCAGTGAAACCAGAAATAGCTATTCAGGTGCTTTCAGTTTCAATTTTCAGATGGATATGTTGTGCATTTCGTCATATGTACCTTCAGGATTTTCATTTTGGATTATTATTTGCAATATTTGAAATCTATTGGAATCAATGTGCATAAAATATTGGATTCATTTTATTTGATATCACTTCTCAAATGCCAGTTTACAGTAATTTTGCTTCTTAAAATGTGACTTTGTTTTTTCCAAGAATGGATTGTCATGAAGGTATCAAGGAGGAAATAATTTATTCAAAATGTGTGGCTTTCACATGATGATGTACATGTACAATTCAAAATAATTTTGGAGTTTACCTTGCAGTGTTTTTCATTGAAATCTATTATGATAGGACTTTTGTGCATAAAATACTGTGTTCACTCAAGGAAATTCAATTTTTATATTAAAGATGGATTTAGTTATCTAAATGGTTAAAAAAAATCATAACTGGAATGGAAGTAGAAGAAATAAGTTCAACCAACATGTTTCTGTGGCTTTAAATGTGATTTTGAAAACATTCATTATAAATTACAGGATATATTATAAGAGTGATTCACTTGTTTAAATGGGATATATATATATCAAGGAAATGAAATTAAATGATATTGATACGGTGGATATAGTCTAATCTAGTGATAAACCTGAAAAATAAAAGTAAATTATTCCCAATGTGTGGATAAAGTTAATGTGAAATTGGAAATAATCATTATAAAATTCTGGATCTAATGTTGTTTAATTCGGAACAGATATTTTGAGAAATGAAATAAAAACTCAATACAGTGGATATTTAGTAAAATCAAGTCATATAGTGAAAAATATGAATAAAATTTTCCAAAATATTTGTAAAGTGAGGATAATTATTTGGAATATAATAATGGAAATAATAAAATAAATCGCAAAATTCTGGATTTAATATCAAGATTCTGTTCCTGTTTATTTGGGATATATGTCATTGGATATTAAATAAACAGAATACTTATAATGGATATAGAGAGAAAATCTAGTGATATAGTGAAAAGTGTGAGAAAATATTCTAAAAGCTTCATAAAATTAGGATAATATTCTAAATTATTGGCTATGAAAACATTATGAGGAAATGTAGTTCATTAAACGATATGCAATTAAATTCCCTACAAAAAACATATATACAGTCTTGTTCTGGCTTGCTCACTCCTAAAATTTGAAATGACAGTAAAATAAAAATCTCTTTTTCCTTCTAAATGTTATGTTTCTTTGGCAATAATATGACCAATTACTTCAAGGAAAACTTCAAAAATAATAAGAATAATCACAATGTTTAATTCCTTTACTTGTTTTAAGATTCTCTAATGAAAAACATCAGAAAATGATTTTTTATTAAATCAGCAGTTTTTAGCAAATATTAGAACATGAAATAAGTTTGCTCCTAGTGGTCATATTCTAGCTTTATTCATACCATATAAACTAGTTTAGACTGAATGCATATTATGTTATTTAACAAAGATAAAAATTGTAGCCACTTTTTTAACTTTTGAAAAAAACCCTATCTCAGTTATACTAAAACAGTAACAATTGAACAAATGAAGTAATAGGACCGCATCCAGGTAGATTCTAAATGCATGAGTGATCATCTATTCATCAACTCTAACAATACCAACTGGTCAATTTAAATGTCCCTATTGTATTGTCAATTTTACAATCTGGTTGAACAATAGGTAAAGGTAAACAGCAACACCTATAGTCAAGTCACAGTAAATGGGGACATATATCGTTAACTTTCTAAACATAAGAATTAGAAGATGCAGAAACTCATCAAAGATATAAATGCCAATGACACAATTTTCAAGTTTATTAGAAAGAATGCCTCTTTTATTGTAAATCGTAGTGCAACATGCTTTTAAATTCGTGATAAAACAACAAGTTGTTCTTTCGTCACAAATATAAGGAAAAAGATATATGGGAAATACATAAATGAACCAGCAACACAAGGACAAAAATAAGCTAAAGACATCTAGAGAGTAGCATAAAGTTATCAACAATCGCTTGGTGTCCACACAGTGTGTCAAGTTGTAAATTATACTCCTTATGTTTAATATATTATTACTTGAAAATATTATTAGTTACACAGTGTGCTAGTGACCTTATACCATATATATGGGGTCAGTAAAGTCCATCCATATGGACTTTACTGACCAATATAGATTGTATAAGGTCTCTATCATACTATGTAACGAATTTATCTTATTGAATTTCTTAACATGTGGCATTTAGACGAATGGCCTATCAAAGTGATCAAGTCTTTAATATTAAGAACCTACTTTCATTGGTCTATACAAAAACAAATGCCAACAATAACAATTTGTTAGCTTTTAATGTGTTTTCTGCATTATTTTCAATCGTTCATCGTCATTTTCTTCATCTGTTCTCCAGATGAAACGGTTTGAAATTTTTCTCAACGCCTTGTGTAAATAGACCAAACACAACTACTAAATGTATACTAAAATGAACCACGCCTTCTAAACCTTTTTGAAATATACAGGGTCTCCTCGCGGTCGCTTTTAACTAATGATGTTTCTAGAAATATATAAAAGGTAGATAAATGTTAATACCTGAATGAATTAGTTTTGTGCCTTCAGCTCTTATAGAGTTGCGTTGTTGCGTCTCACACCAGTAAGTACTAAAATCATATTCAGTTATGTTGTGTATTCTTAGATTATAAAACCCTTCATCAATGATAACTTCAAGTCTTCCGCGGCCGCGGACATTTCTGTTTATCTCATTTCCTCGAGTTACAAGTGTTAAACCTTTCCTCCAACTCTGTGTTGACGTTTCTTTTGAGATCTCACATGACAAGGTAACTTCACTTCCAATCTGAGCATACACATCCTTCTTGCGAAGTCTTTGGTCTCCATGTATGACTGACTCAAACACAACATAATCAGTTAAAGTTTTAAGTTAAGAAATGATCACTTTAGGTGTCAAACAAGAATTAAGTATAAATAAGATGCATATAAAAGCTCTCATCTAAAGTCATTTAAAGTTATATAATGAACATCAAATAAAACAAATGTATTATACGTATATAAAATAAAACACTCATCAATGATACCAGGCTAATAATTTTGTACGCCAGACGCGGCTTCAAAATACTCATCAGTGACGCTCGAATCACAAAAGTTATGAGACCAACTACAGTTTAGTACGAAGTTGAAGAGCATTGATGATTAGTTGTCAATGCAATGTGTTGATAATTTGAGTTTTATGCGAGTGGTGATTCATCTGAAATTACACGTTGTCGTATGAAAGTATGATTCCGTCCCAACTTCAACTTTACGATCAGTATAAAAATATTGAAATGTAGCCGTTAGTTGTCTCGTTTGAATGGTTTTACATTTATCATTTGGGGGCCTTTTATAGCAAACTATGCGGTATGGGTTTGCGCATTGTTTAAGGCAGTACGGTCTCCTATAGTTGTTAACTTCTATGTCATTTGGTATCCGCCGGAGAATTGTTTCATTAAAGAAATACAACATCTTCTTATTTTTATATGTGGTATGATTGCCAATGATACAACTATCCATCAGAGGAGCATGTTACCGTACGGCCTTTAACAATGAACCCAGCTCATATCGTATTGCGGGTTTTTCGCGGGTTTAAAATTTTGTGATTCAGGGTCAATACAGTATATGAAAAATGTTGGCGGTTTTTATTTCAACGGTTTGATAATTCACAATTAACTATTTTGGCGGATACTGACATGTTGAAATTAGACAGATGTAAAAATTGACAGGAAGAAAAAAAAATCAAATTGCTAGGGAGTATCGTTATTGCCATAAAATCAATGTATTCCACATGTGTAAAAACTTCTTGTAAATGTTACGATTGGTTATTAATGAAATTGACCTTTAATATACTTAATAGTTTATAAAGTTATCAAGTGTGCTTACAACTCTTATGTAATTTGACACTAAGTTGTATCTGAAATATAAACATAGGGTGATATAGTATGATTGTCAATGGGATAATAATTCAAAAAGACCAAAGGACAAACATTTATGGTCATACATCGACTTCTCCCGTCCCGCAGTAAAACCCTTGCCCAAGTTGGTCGTCCGAGGGGTTCTTTTGTGGTCTGTTGCAAAATATTTCTGCCCTATGTAGCATACCCTCTTTTTTCAGTGGCAGTTTAAATTTCGTATTTCTTACCCCGGATGACTTGTTGCAAAATTTTCCAATTGTAGTCTTTTATATGTTACCGTTTCGAGCAATCTTCAAGCTTATATTATTTGATAACATGTTCAACAATATGCCAAAATTTTGTTATATTGGCCCTGGTGTAAAATAAATCATGGAAAACTAGCTCTTTCTATTTCTCTCTAATAGCATCAGTATGATATTCAGTAACCGTGCATTTGTAAAAATTCACATACCTGCAAGTTGATAAACAATGAAATAGGTCAATATAGTTTGCATGTTATTTATACAGCCATAAACACAATCCTGTGATTTCTATTTTGTTTTATATATTTTGTGTCATCACACAATAAGCAACAACAGAAAGTGACTCTTCAATAAACCAGGAAATTTTTATCCTAATGCAATCATTTTGTATCATTGGTTCTGATTGTACGACAAGGAACGTAACATTTTCTATCTACCTGTCTGTAACTCAGGAAAGCCGACATTTTGAAATATAAAATGTACTCATATGTTATTTCTTCAATTGTAAAAAAAAAATCATTTCTCATGAAAAAATTTTCTTTTTATCTCATTTCATTACATTCTTAGACGTACAAGACGTCTGAAATTGCTCGGTGTTCACATTTCACGACGGAAGCATACATATGACGTCATCTTGTTTAGCTACCAATGACGATACCGTCATTTCAAGGAATTTTCGTTTTATCAAATTTTACCTACAAGTCGCTAGGTAAACTCAATTTGCGACAGTAAAACCCACGTTTTACGCAGGCCAAGCTTCATATACAATACAGGGACTTCATAATTAAGATGCACTTGGATATAAATATATATACATGTATTTACATGAAATATCATGCAATAGGAAACGCAGAACTATATTCAAAATAATTTAAAAAAAAAACACTTTATATTTTCCCAAAAGATATCCTATAGTATAATATATCTTCCAACCCGTTTAAATTCACTTCTGAAAGTTTTTAATCCAACAATAATTTGCTTAATAGGCATCAAAAGTCCATTGCACATAAACATAGTTATATAAAACATGACGACAATTAGATTTCATTTTCTTTTAGAGACCTTTATGATCTGTATGTAATGATCTTCAGTTTCTAAAAATTACAATTTGAAAGGACAATCCTAATCTACAATGTCTACCTTCCGGATTAAAAACACTATAGCAATGACGTGTAGAACGCGGGTTTATTCCAGTGAAGAAGATGGGAATTACTAGTTCTTTAGACATAATTTACTTGAAGATTGACTTCATATTAGTTTCTGGTAACTAGAATGTTAAGGAAATTATGGAACCAATGCTGCATATATACTTAAATATTTCCTATTTTTACGGATTTATTTTTTTCTTCATGAATTTACAGGTATCAACATATATTTATCTTGTGGCACAATTATCAAGCAAGTGAAATAAATAAGCATAATAAGTATTCTATGGAATAACAGTATGATTTCTATGTATTAAGTATAGTAATAACATTTTCATTGATATAATAATAATAGTAATAGTAGTGCAAGAAATATATGTTTATGCATATGGTACAACAGTATACAAATACTTTCAAATACTCATATACACCTATGTATATGCATTTCCCTCATTTAAATTTAATCAATGACCTTTGCCCAGGGGTTCCAGTACAAGTAGTGTTCTTCCACACTTCAATATTTTAGGGATATATGTTTCTCTAAAATCAACTTTTCTTTTATGTAATTTTGAAGTCCTTTTATATGAGTTTTTATATCTTGCATCTTAGATCTGTAAATGAAGTACTTTGTCAGTAAAATAACTTTATTTTTACGGATTGATATTACAATTATAACGAATCCATAACGTAAAATCAACAAAAGATATTTTATTTTGCACGTAAACTTTGGCTTATAATTAATTTTCGTATGTTGATGTCGAAGATTACCGTGACCTTAATAAACAATCAACAAAGAATCAGAAAACAGGTCACTGTATGATAAGATGATAGAGCGATGTTTAGTTGTTGGAGTACTTTGTATTTGCCATGCGTTTAATTATGTTAACTTAACTTTTACATAACAGTTATTAAATAATTTGGTGTATTAATTTTCTTTCTTTCAGAATCAGTTAGCACTATATCTTTCTTTCTAATTCATTTACTTTTCTTCCAACACAGACTTTTCCTCAAACCTGGGATGTGTGACTGTCGAATTCTACCGAGAGAGGTCATGGTTAGGACTCAACAGACGGATAAGCTGTGGTTGAATTATAGTGCAGGAAGATTATTAGCTACATAGTGTGCTAGTGACCTAATACGGTATATATGGGGTCAGTAAATTCCATATGTTGTGAGAGCGAAGCTCGAATCCCAATATGGAATTTACTGACCCCATATATATTGTACTAGGTCACTAGCACACTATGTAAGGAATTTATCTTACCGACTATCTTAACATGTGGCGTTTAGACTAGTGGCTTATCAAAATTGATCAAGCCTTCAATACCGTTAATATTAAGAACCTACTTCCATTGGTCTATACAAAAACAAACGCCAACAATAACAACTTGTTAACTTAAAATGTGTTTTATGAATTTATTTCAATCGTTTATCATCAATTTCTTCGTTTTTTGAAACCTTTAAGATTTTTCCTCAATACTGTGTTGTTTTTTATAAACGGAACTAACACCACTACTAACCGTGTATTGAAATAAGCACCGCCTATTAACCTAATATGGAACCCTACTAACCTAATATGGAATATACACGGTCTCCACGCGGTTGCTTTTAACTAATCATATTCCTAAAAATGTATATGAGGTAAGATAAAGCAAATTACATTTCCGAAGATGTGGGTATGATAATCGATTTTCTTTTAAATGACTATATACACGAGTCATTCAAGTATATAATTTATACTAATTTTTTTTAATTTGAAGCAAAATATGATCTTAAAGTGTTGATTTCAAATTCATAACACACATGTTGCCAAGGACCCGAGACTCCTTTAATGGCAGTCTCAGATAGAACATCTAGAAAGTAATAAGATTTTATCAGGTTAATTACATTAGGGGCTTGTGCCCATTACCAAGCCTTTTTCCAATTGTAGTTTTAAAATGCAAGTTTTCTTAAATTTAGGAATTCAGACAGTCTAATACTAGATATAATCAATTAGTAAATTTTGAAAGTATAAACGACGACAAGAAAAAATCTTTGGTTAATGATAACTAATTAATCCCAATAGAGTCTGCACGGAAACAATAGGAATGAAACCACATGAAGAACCGAAAAAACGAATTGACAAAAAAACAACGGGGAAAAACCTTCGTTTTACCTTGATTGTAAATCTGAGTGACATTATTTCAGAAAAATTAAGCGCAAACTAAATGCGAGACTGGCCTTCACTTTTATTATCAAACAAATTGAAGGCATCTTACAAATGATACAAAAAGGTCATGGAAGTGGGTTTGGATGTAATTCCTTCGTGTCTGCATCCTTTTTAGTTACCCTATTTTACTCTTTACTTAAAAATTTGATTATTTTCCAAGAGGCCTTGGATTTGGCTAGCCAAAATACAATTAGACGAGAGAGAGGCGAAAGATACCAAAGGGACATTCAAACTCATAAGCTATAAATCAACTGACAACGCCAAGGATAAAAAAGAAAAGACAAATAACACTACACAAAACACAAGATAGAAAACAAATGACTGAGCAACACGAACACCAACAAAACCCGAAGGTCATCTAAGGTTCTCCAAAATGGTACACAGGGCCAGTTCCACATTTGGCACCCGTTGTGCTACTCACTTTTAGTGAAAAGGGAACGAGATTGTGGTTTAATTAGATCATATCCTTCGTCAT